TCGATTATTCCCAATTACTTCTAACATGTAGTTGAAATTATTTCAATTATTATTGTGGAAAAATTGTAGGTTGTATTCAAAATTATTTATAACTTCATAAACCACGCCAAAGTGAATATTATTAATTTACAAAGCCTCTTGCAGAACATACATAAATAACTATGGACCCATTTGAAGATTCATTCAATGCCATACTTGCAAATTGCGATATTGACATTCCATGTCCATCGAAACAAACAAAGACTGAAAAACCTGAAAACACAAATGATAAAGAAGAAAATGGTACTAAGCCGAAGATTAATAAAAGTCACTGCATATTGGTTTCACCAAAACAGGTAAAATATATGAACAAATACCTAAAAATGTATTCTAGTTAATAAAGGCTAGTCAAGGGTAAAATTTGTGATTTTAGAAAGGAAATCCAATACTAAAAGCGATAACTAATGTCCCCTGGGAGTTTGAAGATATTATACCAGATTATGTAATGGGGAAAACTACTTGTGCTTTGTTTTTATCCCTTAAATACCATAACCTAAAACCTGATTATATACACGAACGTCTCAAGTTACTTGGAAAAAGTTATGAATTGAGAGTGCTTTTGGTCCTTGTCGACATGCAGGTACATGATACCTTAATTAAAAAAGCCAATACAAGTCTTTTATGATTATATTATCCAGGAGCCTCACATACTACTAAAAAATTTAACGAGAATATGCATACTGGCAAATCTCACCCTCATGCTGGCATGGAACGACGATGAAGTGGTAAAATATTGAAAACGTATAAAATGTTTGAAACTAAACCCCCGGATATATAATGGAAAAATCTGAACAATATCCAAACCAAAAGGTAGAATAAGTTACTTTAATTTACTTCAGTATTATTATTATTTTTATTACTATTATTTATTATTTTTAAGCTTGTTAGTGCCCTGACTTGTATCAAACCGGTGAATCAAACAGACGCAATGACCATTCTATCTTCTTTTGGAAGTTTAGAACAGATTATAAATGCTTCCGAAAGCAAGTTATGTGACTGTTGTGTTCGGTACAAGAAAAGCAATGAAATTGCACAAAACTTTGCATGAGCCGTTCCTGAAAAAAACTTGTAAAAAATCACCTAAGAAAACTGAAAAACCTAATTTAAAAAGAGCTTATACAAATGCTTTAGATGATAAGGAAATTGATCGATGTTTGATGGATGTTGTGGAAAATAAGGATTGATGTTGGATTAAACTTTGTAACTTTGGAAATAAATTATTTTTAATAATACATGTACTAAATTTTATGTAGTTTCTCCTAAATTAGGTGAAAAAGAGTGTCCTTGGAAAAGTTATTTAAATAAATATAGGAAAATGTTATTTAATTGCAAGGTTGCACAATACATTCAAATCAGTTTTATTACAAATTTTTATATTGGAGTTTATAAGACAGTTTGCATTGAATTATCCTAAATTTTATTTAGTTTCTCCTAAGCTAACTAAAAAAGAGTATCTTTGGGAAAGTTTTCAAATTATTTTATTAAATGTAGCAAAATGTCCGCCTTTTATATATTGCAAATTTACACCATACATAAGGCTGTGTTTGAACTGGTTTTATTTTAAATTTTTTGTATAGGAGTGTAAAAAATTGTTTGCATTTAAATGTACTAAATTATATCTAGTTTTTGCTAAGCTAACTAAAAAAGAGTGTCCTCGGGAAAGTTTTCAAGTTATTTAAAAAAATGTAGAAAAATGTCCCGGATCCATTTAAAGCAAAGTTGCACCATACATAAGGCTGTGTTTGAACTAGTTTTATTTAAAAAAAATTCATATTGGAGTTTATAAGACAGTTTGCATTGAATTGTCCTAAATTTTATTTAGTTTCTCCTGAGCTAACTAAAACGAGTGTTCTTGGGAAAGTTTTCAAGTTATTTAAACTGGAGCAAACTTGCTCAAAGATACATCATAGTTGCCATGACATTAATAATATAGAAACAAAAGTATGTTTAAAATATATCTATTCAAAAGCAATGTCTAATAAATCATTGCAATTCATTTAATTATTGAGTTTTAATTAAAACGTAATTTAATATTTATGGAATGCGCTCTATAAACAAATGTAGAAAAATGTCCTGTTCTAAATTTTTGTTCAAGCTCATTTTTGCTAGTATAAATTCAGTTTAAGATTTAAATTTCAAACGGGCACAAAACCTGGTTTAGACTAAGAAAAACAAAGTTATTAGAGTTATTAAACAATTCCAGAGTTGTGCATATTTTTATATTCAATCATTTATTATTACAATAATAAGTTCTCCAGCCAAGCGACCCCAAAACTAGATTTCCTTCCTAACGTGCGTCTATTAATACGTTTACTTATGATCCATTTATTATTTATCTAGAATAAATCATGCAAACAATGCATGATTCGTATCATTCGTTTTGTGCATGTCAAATTAACATTTTATCTGTTTCTGACAAAACCAGAAACGTCAAATTGAATTTCATAATCGGCGCGCATGCTCTGCTCTAGTCGCTGGCAAAAGACATACGTTATTTGTATATTTTCTTTGAATTAAATTAGTAAAAGGTCTTAGTAAATTCATAATATCAATAAACATATGTATAATATTTAAAAACAATAATGTAATTAAAGTCATACTTCAAATATAACATGATCGGTTTGTCATTGTAATTAGCATTTAGAAATGAATCTTCATTAGAGAAGTGAAGTAATATTCGTTCACACAGCGAGTGGATTATGTTAAACAACGCCTAAACAAATATTATTTTCGCAACTTCACTCATCATTTAATTGTGTTTGAAGAACTTCATGTAATTAAAATTAACATACATTCATCGACTAATGGTTTTTTTTACTTTTTCGCTGGCGATGTAATCTCACTCTTTGAACAGCTGTAATATCTGTTTTGCCTAAAAAATATTTTCCATTTTAATAACTTCAAATATTTATAGAAACTACGAATTATATAGAAATAATTTCTAATCAATAAACTTACGTTTAGTACATGGCACTAATGTTTAATTTGTTTCATTATTTTCAAAAAGGGTAAAATATTCTTCTGATTCAGGCATTGTTCATTGAATCAAGATTTTACTACGATGTAACTTTAAAATGATTATTTATCTATGTCGATTTTCTTGTTGATATCGGTACGCATACAACGTTGATGCCGGTACGCATACAACGACAGATCTCTATTCACATATGCGACGACTAATCACAATCGGCCCGTATAGAAATGATATCATCGAGAGCGAATGACGAATTATTAGCACTTCCGTTGCATTTGTACGGATTTACACCCTAGTCGCGCCTAAAGAAGTTTTACTTCAAAAACAAGCAGTCAATGAATGTATGTTAAATAAATTACTTCTATTAATTACCTGAAGTTTTTCAAACACAACATGATGAGTGAAATTGTGTAAACAATATTTATTTAGGCGTTGTTTAACATAATAATTCTCTGCATTTTTATAGATATTAAATTATATCAAAGCAATACAGCTTTATTCTATCATGCCGAAGATATATCTTTTTCAGAATTATATTTCAGACACTTTTACAGGTTTTTCGTTTATGATGGTTATTAAGTATTACACAGTTGCATATTTTTATAAATAATGAAGAATAAATTTATATTCAGATTTTTTACTCTAAATAAGAGATCAAGCACAACAATAGTTTGTACAGCTGTGTATCATTTATATACAGATATACTTCATAATGAACATCTATGCAGCTTATTTAATGATAGTGTTAATGAAATTATTCAAAATTGTTATATTACAGCTGTGTGAACGAATTTATTAATCAGCAATTACCTCATTTCTCTAATAAATATTCAAGTCCTAAATGCTAATTACAATGACAAACAGATCATGTAATATTCAAAGTATGACTTTAATGACATTATTGTTTTTAAATATTATGCATGTTTTTAATGCTATTATAAATATATAATTTATAATTTATCATTACATAAATGTGTATAATAGTTGACACTGATAAATGTGTGCATCACGAGTGTTACCATATTATTAATAAACATTATTCAAAATTGTTATATGATGTATTTATTTTTAACTTAAATGCCATCTAGTACAATATCAAAAAAGTTTTACTTCAATCGCCTTACACGCACTTTTTTTAACTTCCCGTAGGGTAAGTTTGTAATGGGCCGAAAATCGAAATTGAAAATTTTTACATTTCTCGACGTTTTGAAGGTTTCTGAACATTTTGGCATACTTCAGAAAAATGGATGTGTGTGTGTGTATATTTATGTATGGATACAATTTTTCGCCCACGTTTTCGGACGTACGGATCAACCGATTTGAATGGTTCAAAAAAAATTCGATTCCTATCGATAGGGAAAAGAGCTGATTAGTTTTTGGCAAAAGCAGGTCCAGCCGTTTTGGGGATACGGCGCAAAGAGTGCAGAAAATAGAAAATCGACTTTTTGAGAGAACGGAGTATCGATTTGAATGATCTAAAAAGCATTCAATTAGTAATGATTGGGAGAAGTGTTTATTAGTTTTTGGCAAAGGCAGGCCCAGCCATTTCGAAGATACGGAGCTAAATATGTAAAAAATGGCAGTTTTTGAGGGAACTAGCGTCCGATTTGAATGATCCAAAAAACTTTCTGCTTGTCTAATAAAATAATTGATTTATATATATATATATATATATATATATATATATTTGTTTAATAATAATCTTATTGCAAAAAATCTAATCTAGTCATTGGCTCTCCGTCTATTACCCCCGTACGTCTGTTATCTATCTTTGACATTCGCAAGAAATCAGCTGTGCGGTTTCAAGCTAAGAATACGCACACGTCCCCGTCGATTCTCCTACGACGTTCTTGCCGTTTACTCCCGAAAACGTTAGGGACGTAGGTCTGTTCCGCCCGCGGGTTATATGGAGCGCGCCCCGGCGAAATTCGTCTGCTTGCAACTTTCAATCAAAGTGGACGTTAGTTAAATGATAATTGATTAGTAGTAATTGAAAGTTTTTTATATTTTTTTTATTAAAGTATTCTGTTAATTTCGTTGATAATAAATTAATAAAAAGTGCGCGAAAATGTCTGCATCTCCTCTGGAACGATTGTCAAAAACGGAAACCATCGAGTTGAGGGACAAACATATTGGGTGAGTGTTTTGAAATTTTTGTTTTGAAAATAATTGTGGGCCTATTTTTGGATTTTACAATTTTTCTAAAAGTATTTTACACCACTTTACAGTGAAAAAACATGAAGCCCGTGTCTTAAGGCAAATTGCTGGAACTTCCCGTACCAAAAATTGATTTTTTTTTAGAAAAAAACTTTACATTTTAAACGAAATTAGAATTTTGAGAATTTTAAAATTTTCAAAAAAAAAAACTTTTTGAAAAATTTGAAATTTTTTGATGTTTTGAAAATTTTGCCCCACTTTACAGTGTAAAATTATGAAGTCCGTGCCTTAAGACAAATTGCTGGAACTTTCCGTACCAAAAATTGAAAAAAAAATTATATTTAAACGAAATTAGAATTTTGAGAATTTTGAAATCTTCAAAAAAAAGTAAACTTTTTGAAAAATTTAAAATTTTTGTTTTGAAATTTTGAAAATTAAAACTTTTATGCCTATTATCCCATTTTATTGAATATTTGTTTTTTTTGCTTTTTGTTTTTTATCTTTACTAACAAAAAGGCAGTTTTACTAATGTATGATTTTTATATAATATATTATAATTTTGGCAAAGATTACTCGCGATTTAATTGTCAAGATAATTTTGAAGGATATGTGTGAATAAATTTTTGGTTTATTAAGAAATTTGTATTTGTCACTAGGTAATTTGTCTTTTTTTATATTTATAAATAATATAAATAGGTAGTATATGTCAAGTTAGATGACCCCAAAAAATTGTTTTATAATTTTTACTTCTATCCCATAATAAAACATCAAGAAAAACTATAGGGAAAAAATGGACATCAAAAATACAAAATCATGTGACCAAAAGTTTTTACCACCGGTATAACTTTTTCTACCATCAGTTATTACTAATATAAACGATTTATAAAAAATTAAATTATTTTTAAATATTAGCAAAAAATATTTACGAACTTATGTCGAAAAAAATCATATTTTTACGTTTTAAAACTTTTAAATAAATAAATTTAGCGTTTATTTCAAAGCCAATGCGAATTAAAACGTATTGATTTTTTTTGTCATATCCAAAATTGAAAAAAAAAAATTTGCCGAATATTTATCAAGATATTGTAAGTTTTTAAACCTTTATCATGAATTTATTTTTAAGTTAATTTAATCTTCTAACTCGGAATTTGGAAAAATATTAGTAGTCAAAATTTTCAACAAAATATATATTTTTAACTTTTCGCAGGGTAGTTCATAGTAAGTGCAAAAAGATCTAAAATGAAAATTTTGGCATATCTTTATGTTTCAGAGGTTTCTGAACATTTTGGCATACCTTAGAAAAAATGTATGTGTGTGTAAAAAAAATTAAAATAAAAATTTTGGGAAGGCAGGTCTAGCAGTAAAAAAGTAAAAAAAATGCCATTTGGCGGTCAAAATGATGTAGTTAGACATATGTATATGAAATTATCAGATATTTTTTAGAGATTTTAATAATAAGTAATAAATTTTGTTTACATTTCTATCGGTTTCGTATCAAGGTTTATCCGTTAGACAGCGACGCGACGCTTACGCGCTTCAATATTTGTTTTCACCCAGCTAACGCAGCCTAATTTCTTGACAAAAAGTTCAAAATGTTTTAAAACTACAAAAAAATAAAAATTTCATGCATCTATTTTTTTTTTCAAAGATTGAAAATAATATAAATCTTTTTTAACTTCCCGTAGGGTAAGTTATAGTAATCGCAAAAAAACGAAAATGTTAATTTTTATATATCTTTACGCTTCAGAGGTTTCTGAATATTTTGGCATACTTTAGAAAAATGGAGTATGTGCGTGTGTGTAAAGCGATTCGAATAATTCAAAAAACATTTCGATTCGTATTGATAAGGAGACGTGCTGATAAGTTTTGGCGAAGCAGGTCTAGCCGTTCCGAAGACATGGGGCAAAAAGTGCAAAAACGGTAACTCAGTTTTAAAAGAATGGAGCGTTCGGTTTGAATAATTAAAAAACATTTTACATGTATAACAAGATGAAGAACTTATCAATTTTTATAAAGCAGGTCTAGCATTTTCGGAGATCTAATGAAAAAAGTAAAAAAAATGCCATTGGCGTCAAAAATGATCATTAGACATATGCACATCAAATGATCAGATTTTTATAAAGATTTTTAACGATAAGTTTAAATTTTGTTTACATTCCTGACATTGCAAATTATATCAAATTATCAATTATTTTATAGAATTTTAAACAATAAGTATAAATTTTGTTTGCATTCCTATGGGTTCCGTACCAATGTTTATCCGTTAGACGGCGACGCGACACTTACGCGCTTCGATATTCGTCTCTATGCAGTTAAAGCAGTACGATTGCTTTGAAAACAAAGTTCAGAATTTCCAAAATATTTCAAAATAAATTTTTCTTCAGAAAGTCTTATTTTCAAAAAAAAGTAAATTCTTATCAAAAATTTATATGTTCTCAAAAATCTAATTTTTTTTTTCAAAAATGTTAATCTTTTTAAATAAAAATAATTTTTGGTACGGAAAGTTCCAGCAATTTGCCTTAAGGCACGATGCCATGCACCACTAGTCAATCTTTCAAACATGTACTATCTTTGTGTAACCTCGCGCTGTGCAGTACAGCCTTCGCCTCTAACTATATATACTCGGTCTACTAGTGAATACAATCGCCCGACTGAACTCCGATGGTTCGGGGCGCGGGCTTCAAACCCGCGGCTGACTAGCGTCAGAGTGGTTCGATTCCACCTGTCGGGCGATGAGTAACCCCTAATTTTATCACTTTGTAATCATCTTGTAATTGATTCAATTTAACTTTTGTAAATGCTTTAATAGAAGAGCTTTTTTAAATGAAAGTCATGTAAAAGGACGTTAAGATGTAAATATTTACAGTTTTATTAACTTACCGTAGGATAAGTTCAAAAGTCAAGAATGAAAATTTTTGCATATCTTTATGTTTTAAATCTTTCTGAACATTTTGGCATACCTTATATTAGAAAAAATGAATGTATGTGTGTGTTTGAATTTCCAAGTTTTCAAAAAATGCCAGTATTTTCAAAAATGCATTTTTTTCAATATTCAAGTTTTCAAATAATTTCAAATTTTTCAAAAATACCCCAAAAAATTCAAAACTATCAAAATAAACTAATTTTTCTTTTCTGAGCTTTTAAAAATTTTAAAACGGAAACTTCCAACATTTTGTCTTAAGGCACGATGCCATACACCACTAGTTAACTTCCCGTAGGGTAGTCATTGTAATGGGCAAAAATCGAAAATATTGTTTTTGCATTTCTCAACGTTTTGAAAGTTTCTGAACATTATGGCAAATCTCAAAAAAAATGGATGTGTGTGTGTTTTTTGTGTCCGCAATTCCGCATTTATTCATTCACGTTTTCGGGCGCACGGATCAACCGATTTGAATGGTTCAAGAAACATTCGATTCCTATTGATAGGGAGATATGCTGATTAGTTTTTGACAAAGGCAAGTCTAACCGTTTAGGAGTTCCAAAACAAAGAGTGCAGAAAATACAAATCGAGTTTTTTTTGTATTTTGAAAATAATTGAGATTTTAATTTTAATTCTGACTAAAGTTCTAATATACTTTAAACAAATGAATTCAACTTTGCAATTCAGTTTATATAATTCTTATGAATATTAGACAATGTTACAATATTTATAATAATTTATTTGAAAACATTTAACATTCCACGAACATTTCTTTACGGTACGGAAAGTTTCAGCATTTTGCCTCAAGGGACGATTTCAAGCATCACTAGTTATTATTTTTATGTTATAACTATTAACCTTTAATCATTTAATATTCTAAAATCTCAAATCTGATTTATCACAAGTGCTACTTATTGGCACGTGTTTAAACACAATAATATCGAAAGTAAACACATTTAGCAAATTATCAGTTTCCAAATTATCATCGATCTATCGATCATATTGTCTGGACGTGGCAGAAAATATAATATAGATTTATGGATGCTTATATCTAAATTCGTTTTTGATAAGATTTTTAAAAAATCTTCCAACTTTCTTATCTTCACCAGTTGCTATGATGCATATTGAGAAAGCTAATATTTGTCAAATAATATTTGATAAAGAAATTGTGTGTCATTCTAAATAAATATTTTTATAAGAAGAAAATGAGGATGATGTCTTGCTTTTTTGTTTGGAAAGTTTTACCCGTACAATGTAAAATAATAACGGCTTATCAATGTCAATATGTAAAAGATCTATTTGTGTTTTTAAGAAATACAATTGAACAGTAATTAAATGACAAATTGTGAAATATATAAATGAAATAGTCTGTGGTAGTTTATTACTAATGCAATTTTTGAAATCAATCAATGCACCACAAATATATTTGAAACAAGGGATGACTATATAAAGAATGTTTCAGTTTCAGTTCATTTAATTAATATTTATAATGTTTATAATTAGAATAGTCATGTTGTCCTCCCACTTAATATATAAATGTATGTATGAAATCATTAGAAAATTTTTTGTTAATTTAAAAAAATTTTTTTTTAGAAAATCCTGCCAACTGTTCTTCCGGGAGGATCCTCTGAAGATTGTAAGAGGCGAGGGTCAATACATGTACGACGAGACTGGCACAAAGTACTTGGACTGCATCAATAATGTAGCACACGGTGGGATATTTTTAAATAACCAATTTCTTTTTCATTTAGTTATAATTCTCAGATAAACTCGCTCTGCACCTTTATAGTAAATCACTATTTTTCTAAAATTTGAAATCTGTTGTCTGAAAAAGTGTGTCTTTTCTTTGTAGCCCAGTCATTTGGTGCAAAAAGGCTGCTCCTAATTGTAAAAAATTGATAATCTTATAGATTTCGAGGTGTTCTTTACGAATTTCAACTTCGCCACCTCAATTTTTTACAGCTTTTTTAAAATATCTCCTTTCCGGCTCATTTTATGATAATAGTAGCTATGTACGGATTAAACTAGATAAAATTTCCTACAATTCTTTCGAAAACTGTTTTTTTGTAAAATTAATAGTTTGAGAGTACGGGCGTCTCAAAGTCTTTGTTGCTCTCATCGCCATATCGGATTACCCATATTTGACTGCTCTTTGAACTTGATCACATTTTCTTTAATAAATAAATACTTTTAATATTAAATTAAACGAATAAGGGATCGTTCAAGTATTACGTAAGCAGATTTATTACAATTATTTACCCCCCCCAACCCCCTTGTCAGCAAAAGTAAGCAAAGCTCTTACCCCCTCCTCCCATGCTTACGTAAACATTTTGCAATTAATGTAAAAAAATAAAAGTACTACCTATCACGTAATCATCATCCAGACTCCCCTGCCTTCCATGTCAACCCAAAATAAGCAAATCAACAACCCCCCCCCCGCCTTCCTATAGTGCTTACGTAATACTTGAACGGCCCCTAAGACCTAAAAATTAAATAATTCAAATATTTTTCTGTTTTTAGCTACATACAAAATTGAACTAGAGAAAACTTTCTATAATTTATTCAATATCTTTTAATATTTTCGATATTTATCTTCCGCTGGTGCGGAATTGAATATTCTGAGGTCAAGGGCAGTGCGTGAGAATGGCGCGGGCGCGAACGTACGCACCGGGACAAGGTCAACACACCTCAACCGGGATACGAGGCGTTCGCGACGTCAATCGATACCGAAATTAAGAAAAAAACAGACTCTTAAACCGTGTCTAAAACATATATTAGATGTACCAAATCGTTATATATATTGCCTTAAAAATATGAAACATTTCTCTATTATCACGCCAGGTTCTGTGTCTCACTAGTCCATTTCTGGATTTCCAATTTCATTCTAAAATTTTGTTTACAACATTCCAGTTGTAATAAGAGGGTTATTGTCCTCCACATTTTGATAAACAAGATGATAAATTCGAATCGATATATTTTTGGTGTCCGCAGATTCGCACGAATGCGAATTGTTGTGACGCACAAAGAACGACGGAGGCTCACGCATTTTATTATTTTCTCCCAAGGACGTTCAACTCTTCAAGAAAATGAAAATATGTTAATTTAACTTAAAATAATGAAAACTCGCCCCATTTGCAAAATATAAAATTTGATAACGGGGAAAGTTATACGATTATCAGTTTTGTGTCACTACAGCTTGATATCAGGTTATATGATTTCAGTCTGCTTTATTGCGCTAAAATTTAGCTTAAAATAATGAGAATGAAATTTTGCTTCATTTGCAAAATATAAAATATGATAACCGGGAAGGTTTATACTATTATTAGTTCTATATCACTACTGCTTGATATCAGGTTGTCCGATTTTATTCTGCATTATTGTGCTAAAATATAGCTCAAAATAATGAAAATAACTTGGTCCATTTGCATCATATAAAATATGATAACCGGGAAGGTTTATACGATTATGTCAGATCTATGTCACTACTGCTTGATATCAGGTTGTATGATTTCATTCTGCATTATTGCGCTAAAATTTAGCTTAAAATAATGAAAACTCGCCCCATTTGCAAAATATAAAATTTGATAACGGGGAAATTTATACGATTATCAGTTCTATGTCACTACTGGTTGATATCAAGTTGTCCGATTTGATTCTGCATTATTGCGCTAAACTTTATCTTTAAAAAATGAAAATAACTTGCTCCGTTTGCAAAAATAAAGTATGATAACCGGGAAAGTTTATTCGATTTATCAGTTCTATGTTACTACTGCTTGATATCAGGTTGTCCGAATAACAATTTGATTCTGCAGCATTGCGCCAAGAACCAAGATAGAGAGGCCAATTTTCTGATAAAATAGAAATGTTTTGGTGATGCTATGTTATGCGTCTGTATTCGTATGAGTCGGTCCGATCAGGCCTTTTACAACATAAAACCTAACCTCCAAAACACACAAACGTCAAATAACAATTTATCATAAGTGAAACTTTTGTTGTCACTTTGATAACACATACGTTAAGTTTAACAAAGGCAATATTCTGAGGTTTGTGCCTTTTGGAGTTAGGTTTTTATGTGTATAAAGCTCCTGACAGCAAATACATAGCTTTTTGACAGTTTATTACTCACAACCAATACGAATATATATTACAATACATTTCTATTTTAACCGAGAATTGGCCCCTGAATTTGCATCTGCACCAATATCGTTAAATTGCCAATCTCGGAATAAGACCATGACTATCTTCAATAGTGATAGCAAAATACTATTCATCATGTACTTACATAGAATATTATCAATTATTATGAATACAGGATGTTTTTGATCTATTAAGGACATGTCCACATGACAAGCGTAATAGAATTTTTAATAGGAAGCGTTCGTTGGTCACGATGCGATAAGGACGAGTTGATTAATTTCATGCAAATTATATGACTCCATTGTTTTGTTATGACTTGTTCTAGATTTATTGTAAATAAGGATATGATGCAGTGATATTAGTTGCAATTTTATATTTTTAATATCTCTGGCAGTTTTTAACTCCCCGTAGGGTAGTTATAGTAATGGGCCGAAAATCGAAAATGAAAATTTTTGCATTTCTTAACGTTTTGAAGGTTTTTGAACATTTTGGCATACCTCAGGAAAAATGCATGTGTGTATGTGTGGATGTATGTATGGATACAATTTTTCGTCCACATTTTCGGGCCCAATGGTTTAAAAAACATTCTATTCATATTGATAGGGAGATGTGCTGATTAGTTTTTGGCAAAGGCTGGTTCAGCCAGTTACGGAGATACGTAGCAAAGAGTGTATAAAATACAAATCGAGTTTTTGAGAGAACGGAGTATCGGATTTGAATGATCGAAAAAACATTCAATTTGTAATGATTGGGAGAGAGGTGATTAGTTTTTGGCAAAGACAGGTCTCGCCATTTCGAAGATACAGAGCTAAATGTGCAAAAATGGCAGTTTCTGATTGAACTAAACATCCGATTTGAATGATCTAAAAAACTTTCTGCTTGTATTGACAAAACAATTGCTTTTGATGATAAAAAATTATTACATCTTACCCAGGCTAAGCACAATCTAAGCTCTGGTACAAAGGTTTACCCAAGTGCGTTTAAACTGTTTATATACTGGAGGACTTTTCCAATTTTGTGAAAACAAAACATGTGAAATTATTGAAAAATGTGAAAATGCCGCCAAGCTAAGCACAGTATAAGTGAAAATGTCGCACAGAATTATTTGCAAATGCGTTTAGACTGTGACTATACGGGAGCACTTTTCCAATTTTGTGCAATTCCAATAATAGGCATCTATTTTTTTAAATTGAATTCGAAATGAAATGACGATTGTTAATGTTCTGGAAATAAATTGTGTTATGATTTACATTTGATTTGCTCAGATATAACAGGATAGCAAAAATAATAAAAGTTAATACAGTATTTGTAATAATATATTTGAAAACGTTTAAAATTTCTTGAATATTTCATTACGGTACGGGAAGTTTCAGCAATTTGTCTTAAGACACGATGTCATACACCACACTTAATGACTTCTCCAAAATTTAATTTTTGACCAAGATATCTAACAATTTTAACGCTTCTTCTTTGGTTATCAAATATTCTGTATCGTTAAATACAATTGTAATTTGGAAACGCAAAAGTGGAATCTGACATAGAGTTATATAAAAAAATCACAAATTTTACTTACCTTTAAGATACAGTCAGTCTCTAACTTTTACACCCAAGTGAGTAAAATATATTCCTTCCTTCATCTATTTATTTTCTTTCTATTTCTTTTCTCTTTCCCCAGTTGGTCACTGCCACCCAAAAGTAGTAGCAGCCGGCGTTCGCCAAATGTCCCTGCTCTACACCAACAACCGCTTCCTTCACGACGAGCTGGTGATCCTGGCTCGCAGGATTTCCTCTCTTTTGCCAGAACCCCTGAGCGTCTGCTACCTCGTCAATTCAGGATCGGAGGCTAACGATTTGGCTCTCAGGTTGGCAAGGATCCACACAGGAAACAAGGATGTCATCACGCTGCAACAGTGAGTAGTAGATGGATAAGTTGAAGGGAATGGAAAGTTGTGATGTGGTTGATATGGATGGATGAGATGAGATGAGATTTTGGTAAAAGGACAGTGGGAATGCGAGTTGGTGTGATTTGGATGATTTGAGATTTTTTGCTAGAATTTTTTTTCAATTTTTTGACAACTTTGTTTTTCAAAATACTGAACTCTCTTCAAAAAACATACACAAAACCTTAAGTGAATTTATGCGGTACTATATTACCTCGAATCATTATTATCTTCTATATATATAAAAATAAGTCGGATTTTCCTTCCTGACGAAATAACTCCAGAACGCACGAACCGATTTCGACAATTTTGCGTTCGTTTGAAAGGTCTCGAGCTCCGCAAGGTTTATAGCTAAGAAAATTCACTATTGAATCAAAAATTGCTGGCAATTCGGTGACATACCAATGATTCCGACTGGTCCTCCGTTTGACTTTAAACGATTGCAATTTCCAGTTCGCCTTGCATTCGCAATGACAATTACAAGTCGCAAGGTCAATCGCTTAGTATTTGCGAGATAAAATTTCAAATATATTATTTAGAAAATCATTATTTTTCACATGGGCAGTTATACGTTGCCTGTTCACACGAGTTGGAAAACCATCCGCTTTGTTTGTGTTAACGTCAGACCAAAAAATAAAAAATATGGTTTACCAAAAGGTACTTCAATGAAACGGATAATTTGCGGATTCACTTTCATTTACTTAGAGAAGTTCAACTAAAAAACACTTCATTTTTGTAATCGAAATAAATTCATTACTGTTGTGTAATAAAATCAATTTTTTCCTTTTGAAATATAAAACAAACATAAAATTTCTTCATCTTTCTCACGAAACCATCTGGTGCAAAACGGAGTTCGTCGGGTTGCTAGTCTCCATCTAAAATAAAAAATAAGTTTTTGAAGTAAAACTTCCTTAGGCGCGACTAGGGTGTAAATCCGTACAAATGCAACGGAAGAGCCTTACGGCAATTAAGTTAAGATAAGAGTCGAGTGCCAATGATTCGTCATTCGCTGTCGATGATATCATTTCAATACGGGTCGATTGTGATTAGTCGTCGTGTATGTGAATAGAGATCTGTCGTTGTATGCGTACCGGCATTACGTTGTACGCGTACCGATATCAACAAGGAAATCGGCATAGATAAATAAACATTTTAAAGTTACATCGTAGTACTAATCTCGATTTAATGAAAAATGCCTGAATCAGAAGAATATTTTACCCTGTTCCTTGAAAATAATAAAACAAATTAAACATTTGTGCCGTGTACTAAACGTAAGTCTATTAATTAGAAATTATTTCTATATTATTCGTAATTTTTATAAATCTTTGAAGTTATTAAAATGGAAAATATTTTCTAGGCTAATAGAATGAGATTATATCGCCAGCTAAAAAGTAAAAAAGATACAAGCAGTCAATAAATGTATGTTAATTTCAATTACATGAAGTTCTTCAAACACAATCATTACATGATGAGTGAAGTTGCAAAAACAATATTAGTTTAGGCGTTGTTTAATATAATTCACTGTGTGAACGAATATTAAAGTATTTTTCAATAAGCAATTACTTTATTTCTCTAATAAAGGTTCAAGTCCTAAATGCTAATTTCAATGACAAACCGATAATGTCATATTTAAACTATGACTTTAATTACATTATTGTTTTTAAATATTATACATATTTTTAACGCTATTATAAATATATAATTTATAATTTATCATTATTTAAATGTGTATAATGGTTGACACTAATAAATGTGTGCATCATGAGTGTTACCATATTACTGATAAACATTATTCAAAATTGTTATATAATGTATTTATTTAAACTTAAATGCCATCTTGTACAGTATCAAATAAGTTTTACTTCAATCGCGTGTGAACCTTACGCGCACTCTTTTTTGGTGTTCCTCAAGGTTTACATCTCGGACTGTCATTTGTAACATTTATTTTAAATATGTGCTCCTATTCCATAAAGAACATAAGCAAATTTTTAGTAGCACTTAGAATGCTTATATCACTCCAGTGATTGGACGTCAGGGTATTATGGTATTTTTTTTTAAATAATGCAATCTCAACAATAACAAGCAAAACATATTTTATCGGATTGTTATCATATTTGTCAGCTGATTATAAATAGCTTTTCTGCAACATTTCAGTGTCGTAAACATCACTTGAATTTATATATATATATATGGAGGTGTAGTAGTCCTCCATATTAATACCAATATTATCCAAATTGTAGTAATAATAAATTTCATAAAATATTATTTATATTTCGTTTATTTTATATATGATTAATATCCACGACACTATGTGTTGTCATATTTATCGTTAATAAAATGTGATTGGTATTTTCTTATTTATAATCGAAAAGAAAGGTTTCAAGAATGATACATTTTTAGTAAAATCGACAAGGAGAAACAAAAGCCGTGTCCGATCTGACACTTGAATTTCCTTTTGTTTTTCTCAGTGCTGTCACTATGGGCCAATCTGTCCAGAGACATGTGATGCGTGTTGACAAGCCGCTATGCGTGTTGGCAACCCGTACTACATCACTCCGCCCTAATGAAAAAGATTGTTTCGCATCTCTGACTGCCATTCTTGAACTTCCTTGTAAATTTCTTTTGGTTGAGATTGTGTGATAAATTGCCGTGTTGGCTTGTTGAGTTTGTTGATTGCTTACGTGGCCCTTCGCTGGTGAGTTAGCGGTTGAGTAGATGTGGCCCTTCGCTGGTGAGTTAGCGGCTGAGTATTTTGACACTTCGCTGGTGAGTTAGCGGTTGAGTGTATGTGGCCCTTCGCTGGTGAGTTAGCGGTTGAGTGTATGTGGCCCTTCGTTGGTGAGTTAGCGGTTGATTGTATGTGGCCCTTCGCTGGTGAGTTAGCGGTTGATTGTATGTGGCCCTTCGCTGGTGAGTTAGCGGTTGAGTGTATGTGGCGGTTGCCAAATTGTTTGCTCCCTGTCTGCTGCCATGGTGCTTATTATCGACTTATTTACCATGATAATAAGTGATTTATTGAGCACGTGTTGTTGTTGATCTTGAAGTGCGTGGTCGGAGTCTCGGTTGTATGCTTAGAATGCTCTTCGAATTATGGAAGTTGTGAGCCATTTATAATAATTATTATTTTTTAAAAATTCTTTTCTAATAATTCTTGAGACTTCAATTTATTTTTTTTTCTTGTG